TCTGGGTAAAACTTTTTCTACAGATTTTTTATGGGATATTCATTACATACATCTTGCAGACAATCTAATTCCCTACATAGAAATATATAATGTGTTAGGAAAATTTTTTTGTTGTAAGTTTTTTGGGCGTAAAATAATAAACGAAGAACCGAAAAAATGGAAAACCGTACAGTGTTAGTTTGTGTTGCAAAAAGGTTAGGGGCCTATATAACTTAATATATGTATTTACTAATAATGATATTTACATATTTGTAAAGCTAATGAAGTAAGTTAAGGCATCCAAAAAAATCATAAAGTTTATGGTAAAAATATTTTTTATTTTTTAATACTTGTAAATGAAATAATGTTTTTTATTTTTTAGCGATTTTGTGAAGGAAAAAAATCATAGTATTTAGGACAAAACTTTTGTACCAATTTTTTTTACTTCAAACCAACATTGGCCTAATCATCTTGTAGTGTATTCAATTAAGTTACCTACCTACATAAAATTATTAGTAAAAATAATTAGTAGCCTACCGGTAAAAAAAAATGTATAACACGTTGGGTAACAATTTTTTCTTAACGTGTTATGGGCATAATAATATAATAAACAGAAAACCGCAAAATACAACCGTATAAAAAATACAACCTTTTATAAACACTATTTCACACTATTCAGTAATATTCATGCATAATAAAATCCAAGAAGATTACTGTTATATACATGCACACATTTCTCTAACCCTACGAAATAATAACAAATTTTGTAATAAATCGCGGATAACGCGAGAGTGAAAACTCGCCGAAAACAACACGCAATGGCGAATACAAGGCACCTTGTGTATGAGACCTTGACAGTAGTGACGCACTTTCGTCTTCCTCCTGAGAGCAAACGGAAATAACCATGGTCAAAGGGCTTCCACCCTCAAAAGCTTTATTTCTTCCTCTTCAAAATGACATGTTATATGACTAGTAATAATAACTTACACTGTTTATATAGTTTGTATTTACCGTACTATCGTATTGCGATTGTTGGCCATTTGTTATACATTCCAAAAACAGCTGTTTTCATAAAATCGTAACTGTTGTGCAATCAACATTTCGTTCTAAAAATCAATACCACAATGAAAATAAACAAACACAATGGCTATTGTTGCGGCGCGTCTGTGATGCGCCAATGTTATGGAAATAATAAAAGAACTAACACTTTAACGAACTATGAATTTATTGATGTGATTATATAAGTGGACTGTATAAATGATTGACTAAAATGCTATAACGAAACAACTAATGCGAATGTACTATTGAATGCGAATTAAGACTAATGAACTACGTGGAGGGATCTGCCTCACACGTCCTATACGAAAACTATGCCAAACGAACTTGACAATGTGGTGCTAGTTGAGACACTGACTATGACTGAACAAAAGACACCTTCCTCGCCCTCTATTGGGGTTGCAACTTTCTAAAAGTGGTGAGGAAGGGCCTGCCCTTTCGCAGAAGGACGAAGGTTTATTACTCTGTTACCGGCGCTAAAAGCCGACAACTGCCCTAAGAGAATGCCTGTTTGCTACTTCACAACTCTAAGTTAAAACTACATATGAAATATAGCATTTATAATAATTAGCTAATAATATAACGTAATGAAGCACAAAATCAGAAATATATACGATAACTCTCCTCAACATTCTCCCCCCTTGAAAGTGTAAATCTTTCAACTATTTCTATATTGCAAAAATCTAATTGAATTTAAATTGATACAATAATTACAATACTGCTGTATTTACAAACAAATTAATCAAACCATGTTGAAATGATAGAATAACACAATGACACAAAGCAATACGAGTGAAGTACATTTAAAATATTGTAAAATACCTTATATGCTAAACACGAATATGATTTCTACAATGAAAACAAGTTAAATGATAAAGCTTTGAATAACACATTAAAAATCAGAACTCACGATAATGATTTGTCGATAACTTAATAAATGAAACTAACAATGACACACTAAACTGTACAAAAAGATGACAAGACTAATGTTAAATTGTTAAGTGCAAAAATATTTCGAATCACGCTTCTATAGTTTTAATATCTAACACGATGCTACAAATCCTATTTACAAGGATTGAATACATTTTATTGACTGAACAACATAAGAACACGAATATTTAAGTACATTTAAACAAGAAAACAACAACATGATGATGTAATCAATATGAAAAAAGTGATTATGAATAAATATGCTACTAATCTGGCAAACGACAGTAAAATGACTAAAATGATAACACTTTTATATACTACATGACAACTATGCTAAGTTAAATAATCAATAGCACAAAGAATTATATGCAAATCATAGCCATTTAAATACATACAAGTTAGTTAAATGATTAGATGAACGAGAAAATGAAATACAATACAACAATTAATTATGTGCAAAATCGATTAATTAACCCTAACAACGATTAATTATAATAATAATAACGATTGAACTGATTGGTTATTCAAAATGCAATAACAAAACTACTAAGAAAACGATGAAAAATGACAATGCAAAAAACTACAACTATTAAAAATATAACTAAAGCTTTATATTTGAAACATTGATTTATCCTAAAATTTATCCTAAATGTAGATTTTTATGTTACACTTTCACTATTTGGCTTGGAGATTTTTACTATTTACACTACCACTTTTACGACTCACTCACTGACACTTGACACATATGGTTGACAAGGGTAGTTCTCAGCTGTTGCAGTGTGTGACGTCATTCCAGGGGTAGGACGCACAGACGGTTGACCGCTCGCTTCGCTCGTATTTTCCGTTGGTTGTTTTGACGGTGGCGATTCACACCCTGCCGTCGTCTCCATGGTGGATCTCTGTGGCGCGTCCGGTGAAACGATCCATTGGCAGCTCGTTGTCCTTTCTTGTAACCACTGGTAGAAAAGGAATGATGTTGGTAGACTCCGATGTCCATTTTAGCACTTTGGTTGAATGGAAACTTTGTCTTGAAATTTGAGTATGCTTGATACAGCGTGGAGTTGTTTGACAGTGTTTTCTCAAACTGACAAAACCTTGATTCCCCAAGCGTTTGATTGGCAACTAAATTTTCTAGGTCCTCCTTTTCTGGCAACGTGACTGTGTATCTCCCGGTAGTGTCCCTGACTGTTATTTCAAAGTATGTTTGTTCACACATTGCCTTTTTGCTATCAAGTTGTGATTCTGGTTGGTCACAGCTGATCGTGTTCCAGAATTGTTGGGATCGAGAATGAAGATTATCGTCTGTGGTTTGAAGACAAATCGATCTCTCGGTTTCAGCTTTTTTGCTATCAGAAAAATTCCCCAAGGATACCCATCCTAAACAAGTGTTTTGAAAAGTGGGAGCTTCCTGCTGTGGCTGCATTTGTCCAATGCCCCGAAGTCCAATTTCATCGGTGGTAACTAATAAGTCAATCGGCTCCAGGTGATTGCACTTTTCTTCAAAAGTGGGTAATCCTGCAATGGGTAGCTTGACTTGTTTCACTGAATAGGATTGTTCAGTATTTAACGGCAACGATTCGCTAGTATTGGTTGATTTGGCAAGGAGGGCCTTTGCTCTTGCTAAAAGTTCATAGTATAGGTCTTCGAATGACTCCCACTCTAAGTTCTGATCACTAACCGAGTCTGTCAGTTCTATTTCTGATTGTACTAAATCAAATTCCGATAAATAATTCCTAAATACAGTTATTCTATCTTCTAGCTGGGAACAATCTTGTGTCTTACTGATTTGTTCAAGGAAAGATTGAAATCTGGCCACTTTGGACTTGATAGTAGCTCTTTTGATAACTAACTTTCTCATTTCTTCAGCCATTGTAGCTTGTTTGAACAAATGAAATAGAATGTAGACTTACGATAGATGATGCTGGTAAATCCAATACACAAAGTAGAATAAAACACTTGTCACTACATTGATCACTGTTCACTGCGACTGTTCACTGCGACCGTTCACTGCGACCGTTCACTGCGACTGATATCGCGAATCCGGCTCGAAGGACCATGTTGCGGCGCGTCTGTGATGCGCCAATGTTATGGAAATAATAAAAGAACTAACACTTTAACGAACTATGAATTTATTGATGTGATTATATAAGTGGACTGTATAAATGATTGACTAAAATGCTATAACGAAACAACTAATGCGAATGTACTATTGAATGCGAATTAAGACTAATGAACTACGTGGAGGGATCTGCCTCACACGTCCTATACGAAAACTATGCCAAACGAACTTGACAATGTGGTGCTAGTTGAGACACTGACTATGACTGAACAAAAGACACCTTCCTCGCCCTCTATTGGGGTTGCAACTTTCTAAAAGTGGTGAGGAAGGGCCTGCCCTTTCGCAGAAGGACGAAGGTTTATTACTCTGTTACCGGCGCTAAAAGCCGACAACTGCCCTAAGAGAATGCCTGTTTGCTACTTCACAACTCTAAGTTAAAACTACATATGAAATATAGCATTTATAATAATTAGCTAATAATATAACGTAATGAAGCACAAAATCAGAAATATATACGATAACTCTCCTCAACAGCTATCCAGTGGTACCACCCGCAACATCCCAAGACGAAAATTACCAGAGCAGGGTAATGCCAAACAAGTCGTGTTTTGACAGTTCCCAAGAGTCAGCTACAAAATTCGTGCCGCGCAAAAAATTCATTTGATTTCCAATTGTCATGACATTGTTATATACCTGCTACAGGATTTGTTTATGTAGCCTAATAAAATGAAAGTTCAAAATGCGATCTTTCAAATGGTATATATTGTTCACATCTGAGTTGATTGTAAGGGTTTTTTTACCGTTAAAAATATTTTGGCCCGTACTATCGCATTAGGATGGTGGCCATTCTAGGCGTCACGGCGAACGATTGTATTACGATCATTGGCCACTGCTAAGGTTAACCAGAGGAGTGTCATGGCTGGTAGGCAACAAGTTAAGGCTTTAAAATATGATTTTTTTATTCAAACAAACTTACCTATTAGGCTTCCCCTTTCCCCCACGAACTTTGGGCTGCTCATTGATTTTCTGGATCATCGAATCATCATCATCATCGTCATCACCTTCTGGTTTTCTCAGTAACTGAACCCGTCGCCCTAAATACAAAATTATTATTGAATTTAAAATTATTATCATAGTAATTGGAGTCAGACTACTTTCAATTTAATAGTTTTGTCTATTGACAATATTTATAGCTACGTTGTAGTTTTACACTGTTTGATTACTGATCATAATCAAAGTAATTTTCCAAACTAATGTAGGCTATAGTTCACTTTCATGAACAGTCAGCTGTTGGCTTACTTCACCCACAGTTCATTCCACTTGTAAATGTCATCCGTCCTAGGCTACCTTGTTTATTGTAATGTTGTATATTTTTACGGCGATATCTTGAGAAATATTCATCAGAGGTAAAAAATAAGGGTACCTATAAGTTATTTTGATTCAGGGGGGCCCCCTAGTGAGTTGGGGTTATTGTTTATATATTTAATTAGTAGGCTACCTAATAAAAGGAGGCATTGGCGCCAAAAAATTCCTTAATAAAGTTGTAGTACCTGATGTCCTAAAATAGTTTAAGAGAGTTAAAGAGATTTTAGAACTTTTTAGCTGGGGCCTGGGTCCTAAATAAGTACCGGTAAGCCTACCGTGCTTTTTAATTTAAACATTTTGATGGCTTAACTTAAGTTTTAAGTAGAAGGTTGAAGGTAGGTATGAAATAAGCTAATTTGGTAATTATTTGATATCTCTACAATGTGATATCTTGTAATTTTTAGATGTCTACTTACAATATTTTTCACGCTGAGTCCAAAAATGCAATCAGTTTTTGTCGGAGAGACTCCGTTGTACAGTTAAATAATTAATATTAAGCTTCAGTTTTGTTGATTTATTAACATATTTGTGGTATGAACGAGTCCAAGTTCTAGTGGCGACTAACACTAAAAGGGGTGGAAGGTTTGTGGAGTGGAAACAGCTGTCAGTTGTTTACATTTGAAACTAAACAGACAAAACCACACACGACGCCATGAGAGCAAAATCAGAGCTTAACTAGATTTTTAAAAGAAAATGGACTTTTTTGCTGTTTAGAAAATACAATAAATCAACTATGATACATTAGGCCTGACTAATAATCACATGAACATAAATTATAAGGTAAGTTAAAGGTTAGGTTATAATGAACCTAACCTTTACCTTCCTAATCTAACCTCTTCAAAACACTTAATACAGTCACGAATCCGCATAAAACCCGACCTACCTTCCTTACATGCCTAAATAAGAACTGATTATTTGGTTTCAAAACAAATTGATTTCATTCCGTATTAAGTCGAGTATAAACAGCTGTTTGCTCTCCTCCTCACTCAGTCCTCAGTCCACATACGGACCCGTCCAAACCACGCCATATTACCATCAGTAGCTCAATCAACCTTATGTTTGTAATTTTAACCTTCGTTTTACGGCCACTTAGGAATCTCTCCGACAAAAACTGATTGCATTTTTGGATTCAGTGTGAAAAATACTGTAAGTAAACATCTAAAAATTACATAATATCGCATTGTTTATATTTAAAATATTTCGCCGCTAATTTAAACAATATTGCCAAATTTTATAAAAATAAACAAGTAAACTACCATAGATAAAACGTTGGTTAGTCTATGATACTACTTACAAACAATTTTTTCCCCTAATAATAATAATAAGTTAAGCCTAACATGGGAATCTCAAATTTACAATTTTTATGTTTTTAGGGTCAAAAAAGGGAAATTTTTAACCCCATGGTTGGTAGGTGGTAGGCTTAAAGCCTAAAATTTAGGCATTTAATGCTGAACAACAATTTTTCACATAGGTACCTAAGGCCTACCAAGTAACACTAACACCTACCTACCTGGAATGTCAAATGCTGACTTTTTCGTCTTTTTCTCTTGAAGCTGTTGTTTCTTTGCTTTTCCACTAAAAGGTATTTTACGAGGCATATTGATGAGATTTAACCTGTTCAGAACTTTAAAAATGTACCGCAAGATAATATTCTAGAAACTTCTCTAAAGTTGTCACTCTTGCAAAACACACCTTATCACAACTAACAACATAACCTTTAACCTTGCCTTAAACTTTAAACAAAACAAACAGAACAGATACAGAATCTATCATTTGAATCGAATCGAATCAGCAAACAGCAGTAGCAGAAACAGTCAAACACTGAAATAATACTTCACTTTTCCATTTTAGTTTGTTGATCTACTCCCTGTTCCTAGTTCCTATTCCTGTTGTCCTGGTTGCTAATCGCTATTCTACTGTTAGTTGTAGATGTGTGCCATCCATAAGAAATGGAACTGTCTCGCCATTCCGTTCCGACCGTGGAACGTTCCAGAACCGATTCCGTTCCGGAAGCTGCACCTAGTAGTTCCGATAAACTTTCCGGAACCTTCGTTATCCATTCCCATTATTCCCTTGCCACGCCAGGGGTGGCTGTGGCGCAATCTAGGATTAGGATCCATCAGTATATAAATCCAAAAGTACCCATGAACTTTTGAGAAAACTCAAGGTCACACCCCATAAAACCATATACTTGAAATGTTCGTCATGACGAGAAAACTATCCTTTTTTTTATAAATTAAGGTCGTTATTCCTTTCTAAAGGGAACTTTCCATATACATCTATATACAGGGTGAGTTTTAATTGCCCCCCCCCCCAACTTTATTCTACATTTTTTCAAATATTAATCCCAGACCACATCTAAACATTGGCGGGTAGTAAGTACTTCATTTTGACAAGGTGGTCATTTCCGGTCGCCATCTTGGATTTGCCATATTGGATGCAAAATATGTTTTTTCAAATGTAAAGGTGGGGTTGTGACCCATTATTTTGAACTAGATTTTTACCCTGATTACAATGCCACAAACCATTTTTAAAAATCTTGATCTATTCTAAAGGTAGAGGGCTTTTTATAGCTTTTTTTAAGCTGAACTCAATTCCACGATCCGTTTTTTCATTTTCATATTTTGATTTTGGAATATTGACATTTTTAACAAAAATATTGCATATAGCTTAAAAAAGTAATTCAAAATTATGGGTAACAACCCCCCCTTCATATTTAAAATAATTGATCACATTTCAAAATGGCTTATCCAAGATAGCGGCTGAAAAAATTACATCCATCATAACCAAGTGAAAATAGGTTGACAATAACTTGTGGTGTATACTTATCTTTATCTAGCACTATTTTGAGATTATGGTCTTAGTTTGTAAATAACTCGCCAAGGCTCGTGCCTTAAAAACTTCTACGAGTGTCGTAAAGACTATTAACGCGAGTTGCGTACACTACTTTACCTACGACAGTTTTTTAATTACTAACATTCTGGTTTTTAATTACTAACAATCACTACTCATAACTTCTTAGAGAGGTTATGTTTTCGTTTATTGTCAGTGCCACTGCAAGTGATGCAACGACTTATTGTTTAATCAGCTGATTTCATGTAATTACGTGATTGTACAACTTCGTTATACACGTTACCTTTTTCAGGTAATAGGTTCTGCTAGCATCATTCTTACTATAAATACTGATCAGGTACAATTAGGGAAATATTGCATTTTTTACAACTGAATGATTTATTTATAATGATTTAATTTACAGTTAGATCTCAGCATCGAATATTATAGAATATTATAAACAGTTTGTGCTCTCATCTCGTTACCTTCACTTTCACTGACATTTTTTAAATCAGTTTAATCTACCTTCCTTTAACCTCCACCAACTTAGGTTAAGAATACGAATACGCGATTACCAACAGGAACAAGTCGGATCAACAATTATTAAAATTGTCAGCTGATTAGTTGACGTTCGAAGCATTACAATTTTACTTTTTTTCTCTAAATCCTTGAACCTCATTGGTCCGTTACCCGTGTTGTTATAAGAAAAACTATGCTGTTATGAAATGGTTATGAAAGTAAACAGCTGTTAAGTGAAACTTTTCAATTCTAAGAACTGAACTGAAATGACTACAAAAAAAAGAGTCGTAGGTAAAATATGTTACGTTTCTTTACCAATTTATTTGTTTTATGATATCTGTAGGAAAAATATTAATGTGCAACTCGAGTGCAAAGTGCAATTGCTCACTAGTTGCACAAATAACTATTACCTACGACCGTTTTTTAAAGTAGCCATTTCAGTCCAGTTCTTAGAATTGAAAAGTTTCACTTTACAGCTGTTTACTTTCATATCCGCATAGTTTCATTTCATATCCGCATAGTTTTCTCATATCCACACAGGTAACGGACCAATGAGGTTCAAGTATTGAGAGAAAAGAATTAAAATTGTAATGCTTCGAACGTCAACTTATCAGCTGATCAGCTGATCAGTTGACCAATTTAATTGTTGATCCGACTTGTTCATGTTGATACTCGCGTATTCTTAATTAAGTTGGTGGAAGTCCAAAAATAAATGAAATATTTGCCGAATTGTACCTGATACAATATTATTTATGGTAAGAATGCTGCTAGCAATGTAATATTTAACGAAGTTTAACAAACACGTAATTACAGGAAATCAGCTGATTATACAACAAGTCGTTGCATCACTTTCAGTGGCAATGACAATACACGAAAACATAACCTCTCTAAAAAGTTATCAGTAGTGATTGTTAGTAATTAAATCCAGATTGATAGTAATTAAAAAACGGTCGTAGGTAAAGTAGTGTACGCAACTCGCGTTAATAGTCTTTACGACACTCGTAGAAGTTTTTAAGGCACTCGCCAAGGCTCGTGCCTTAAATTTTCTACTCGTGTCGTAAAGACTAACTTAACGCAATCGTTGCGTAAACTACTGTTGTATTACTGTATTCTGTTTTGTTTATTTCAGCTTATAACTTTTAACCAATAATTCTTATGAAGTCAAACTGGGTGAAGCCCGTGGAAGTAGCTAGGATCTCTCAAATATTATCCTTTTATTTGTATAGATTATTTCAAACACCCTGTGTTTGCTCACAGGAGGTTATTAGACCAATTTGGTTATCTAGTTATTTATTGAGACGCATTTACAGTACAGCAATGTTTTACATAAAAAAGTATTTCTCCATAATTCGATACTGGTAGTTAAACATTTCATATTTAACATAAATGTGTTTTATTTCACTCCATTCTCTCCCACGATGTACGTTAGCTTGAAGCCTTTACCAACATTATATTCACGGATTTATTAGTTTGAATCACTATGACAATATAACTTCAACTTCGTAATTAATTTAAGCCTGTACTACTCGCTGTACTTGAAAGCGTGGATGATGATTATTTATGTTAAGGGGCCACTAAAACTATGATAAAGTGTTGAGAAGTTACTTGTTAATGAAAGTCGCACTAATGCCAAAGAAACTTGCATTACTAGAGTAAAAGTAGCCTATAGGTTTTTTATGTTACATTGTAATATTGTATATAGTTTTCACTATCGCAAAAAAAAGATATATATTAAGTTTTGCCTTTAAATTCAGGGTATTGTTGACCAGAGTAATAAAATGGACTTCAACAAAGTTCACAATTTGTAATAGTAAAATCAAATTTAGGCAATACTAGCAAAGCAATAATTTGATTTTGAACTTCTAGTTGCTGCAATTTCTTGCATCGATCACAATAATTTAAAGTAAACTCCCTCTGCAGCAAACCTGGAGACTTTGCAAATTTCCATTTGCCGGATTATGTTCACTAAAATATCTTCTTTAAAATGTAAGATTTATTCCCTATTGAATAAATTTTCCAAAATTTCATCCAAGTATGTTGGTTCATAAACAATGACACTAAAACAGTTTACTTATTTTTTCTTAACAATAGTATAGGATTTTTTATTTTATTTGTCTTCTTAACCGTGCTAACAACACTTCAAGATACTTAATTATTTGTTTTTAAGCTCTACAAAGTGGTTTGGAAAGAAATTGCGAAATGTTATGTTTTATGAGGCTAAAAATGGGGAAAGCCAATTATTACCCCCAGAAACCCCCATTCCCATGATCATTCTGGTTCATAAACTCGTTCGAATAAACGTATGTTTTATACGTTTTTACCAAATTTAATCAAATTCTGATCATTTCTGCTCGAGTTACGGGCACACATATGAATCTGTACGGGTGGTGCTTCCGAACCCGACCTCTACCCTTAAGAACGAAAAAGAAAATCTGTCCCGGGTCCAGGTTTACTATGAGACCTACGTTAGCATATTCCCCATATGGGAAATTTGCTAAAAGTTCTTGTCAAACCTACTTTTGAAAATCATAAAAAATTCATCTATTCTCTCTATGCTGACACTAAATATACAAATAATGCTACAGAAAATAAATGCTGAGACTGTAATATAAGAGATTAAACATTTTCTATTTGTAACTTCCCTTTAATGTTTCAAACAGAATCTAGGTTATCCGAAATTCCAAGAGAGCTGTTATTCGCCTCTGTCAATTTACGACCATTTCACCGTTCATGAATGAGCGACTCATTATCATTCCCGGCCCAGGGAGAGTAAACCAGTTTTTTGCCGAAGAAGTAAAAGTGGTCTCGTTCAAAGCGGAACAGCTAAGTGGAAGCGGTTAGAAATGGGGGCAGTAGTATCATGCGAGGACCGACCCCAGCGTACGCCCGAGTCCGGCGAGTCCGTCGTTCCGGTGTTCACACTCTGCGATCACACGTCCCCACAGTATGTCGGCCCTCGCGACCGGTCTCGTTTTTACAACGGCAATCTTCACGGTAATAGCCGCGAGTGCAACTAGTTACACCACCATTGAGAGTGAACATGGTAACCAACATAACCTCACCTCAAGTGCAGACAGTATTTTAAACTCTATGCGTCAGATCGGACTGGATGTAGTACAGAATGATACGGAAGTGTCAGTGAGTGCGCGGATGAAGATGTCTGATTTCATGCTCAACCCTTTCATGTTCATCCCTCAGCTGATCATGTGGGGATTCGCGCCAATTTTGCTGGCGAACCTCAAAATGTTCGTGATGCAAGCCCTGATGCTTAACAAGATGGCGTTGTCTTCAGCGATTTTTATGACCCTGAGGAACATAGTGTTTGGCCCCCGGCCTGGACATATCGTCAAGTACGCCAACCATGGGTACGGTCACGATCACGGACACAACAAGGTACATCACTACCACAGGCCACTACATCACTAGCCACTTGTCATTTCTGGAGTCTATTGGTCCAAGTTCTACTTTTGCTTTATTCATTTCATTTCAAACTATCTTAAAGAACTTTCCTAAAATTATTTCTACAGATCTAAAATCTCATTTTTTATTTTCAGTTCTGTAATAATCATGCTAGCCAGTATAAATACTGAAGTTTGTAGATAGATGTGCAAAGAAGCATGTATACACAGTTTTGCTCATTTGTTTATTTGCTTACATTTTTTAAAGATGGTACGTGCCATTTCAACCAACAAATTTGTTTCTATGTTTAAGATCATATCTTTAAAACCTTTTTCAACCATATAAGATAATAATTCTATACCGGTACTGTATACATGATATTTTAAATTGTAGGTACCCTTACCTCTGATTAAATCAGGTATATACTAAGCAAACTTGTGTCATATACAACAAATTACAGTTGTTTGTTAGTTTGTAAATATGTGTAACTATTGTAGTTCATAAGCTTTATTTATTTAGTGTTAAGTATTTATTTTCAATATTAAAAACATTATTTCTTGAAGACTATTGAGAGTTTTTATATATCCTTTGGCAATCAAGGTTTTAATATTGAGACACTTTTTCAAAAGCCATCTAACTAAACGAAGTATAGTTTTAAGAATAAATAACAAATACAAAAGTCTTTAAATTCTGGCGTCAAACATAAATTTAACTGAAGTTTAATGTTTACACTGATTGTGTTGTAATATTTCCAGGGGTTTCTTACTAAACAATTTTGCATTACGGTATTTTATTTATTTTACATGAGCACACTTAAATTACAAAAACCACCATTTTAATTAAAACAAAAACATTAAGGGATGAGAGATTACGTACATGGCCTTAACAAGTAGGCTACTTTTATACAGTATTAATAATGCTAAGTTTCAAGTTTGTTGCCCAAACAAATCTTGTTATTTAGTAAACAATTCAACCAAGCACTTTGAATCCTTATTTATATATTTTTAAATATGTTTGCTAGATGTAAGACGAAATGGTATCACATAAGGAGGATAGCATAATAGCATGAGGACAAAACTGTAGTTACAGTAGCCTATTGATGATTTAATTTGGTAGAATTAAAACCAAGAGTTTTTACCAAAATTAAAAAACAACATTTAACCTATAGGGTATGGTTTGCATGAGAATTGACAAACCAGTTCCCATACCCAGCAGAGATATTTCAGCCTGAGCTTTCTCTACTTCTCTCTTCATTCTTTCTCTCTAACCTATATAATCATCAGCCAATGTGTTAGTATTAGCTTGGCCACTGCCCCTGGTCTTGCATGAGATAAAGGTTCATTATGGTTTATGGTGCATAACATAATTATGAATATCAAGACATAATTACCAGTTCTGCTTCTTACACTCATACTTGAAGATGCTGTTTCAAAATGAATATACAATGGTGACAATTAACTAATTTGATCTTACAACATCAAAACAGTTTTGACAAATTATTTTATTTTTATTTCTTTTATTAGGACTAAACTGTACAATAACCACAGCAAAATATATTTTCACTTTCTCCCCCTCTACCATAGTATATGGAGAAAGTATTGTTTTCGTCAAAATTTTCGAGTTGTTCCACTAGCTAGGGACTACACCTGTGGTCCGCTTTTTGATGAAATTTGGTATGTAGGTTCTAATCCATGGTATCTCCAGGCGTATTTTTCATTTTTTTGAAATTTTGATTTTTAATGGGGATTTTTCCATTAAAACCCATAAATAACCGGAAAAATCGGATTTTCTCAAAAATGGCCCGAACGATTTTGATAAAAATTTAGCATGTTGTAGCCCTTTAAATTCTGAACAAAATGGTAGAAATACCATTTCTGTAAGAATTACGGTTCAAAAGTTATTGTAAATTATGGTATTTTCCCATAAAAACCCCATAAAATAACGTAAAAATCGGATTTTCCCAAAAATGGTACAAACGATTTTGATAAAAATTTAGTATGTCAAAGTCCTTTAAATTCTGAACAAAATTGTACAAATCCTATTTCCGTATATTTACTCTCACCGGTTACACATGATAATGGTTGTTGATAAACTTATGGGAGAAAGTATGTGTCAGAATGCTGATACCGTTTATTTTACTTCTAATTCTTTATACTTAACTCATAATTTAATAGTTGTTACTTCTCAAAGTAGGTACATTTATTTGGTCACAATTGGATTATGTAATGAGACACATAATTAAAAAAACCATGGGTAAGCGCACCAAAATTTTCACAGCAATAGTAGTGTTAGTGGTAGCAATGGTGGTGGCATTTTGTTCAGAAATTATAAGACTATAACATAATAAAGTTTTATAAAAATCATTTGCGCTATTTGAAATAAAACTCAATTTTTCCGTTATGTTATAGGAAAATCACTATTAAAAATCAATAAACGTCTGGAGATACCATAGGTTAGTACCTACATACCAAATTTCTTAAAAATCGGATTACAGGTGTGGTCTGTAGCTCTGTACACATCCACACGCACACAGACATCACTTAAAAAACCACCTTTATTTCATCACATAAGCCACTGGGACTAAAGAAAAAGGGTGTAATTGAGTTTATAAAAAAAATACAAAAATAAAAAAAGGTATTAGGTAATAATCATCATTTAAAATCATACTATACAGTACTTCTAAATTCTAATTCATAACAATGGTCAAATGTTGTAAATATTAATAAAGTTCCCCTTGTTCACCCCACCCCTACTGTTGTAATGGTTCAAGTAAAAAAAAGGAAATCAGTCCAGAGTGTAGGTCTTACCATGAGATCTTTAGTAAGAACAACTATTGTCATTACTACCTACAACTAAACATTTATATCTTCCCTTACCACTCAGACTCTCTTGTCAGCCGTTTAGCTATCTTAAAAAGAAAAAAAAAATTAAAAATGTTTTATTGGGATTTTATTTTTTATTTTTCATTATTAGTGTAATTTGAATTTGGCTTGATGACCTGCATACAAAATTAAACCTAAGGCAAAGGGCCTTAAAATAAGAGTGGAAAGGGTTTTTTTTAAGAACTTTTTACTCCCAATTCCAAGGTGACCATTAAAGTGAAGCATACTACATGACGTACATTAGATAACCTCATCCCGGATAGAAAGCCTCTTGCAAAGATAGTTGGGCTCACGGAAAGTCAGTAGGTACTCTAAGAGTCATGCACCACCTCTAAAACCTGCACATGTCTTTCATGGTCAACAGATCGACTGCTTCTTTGGAAGGGGGAAACATGATCAAACCAACATTGTAACAACACATAGAAAGGAACGAGGAAAAGAAAATACTATAAATCAAACAATTTATTGAAAAAAGACAAAACCTGCAAAAAAGCTCAATACAATTTAGTCCTTGCGGAGAGGGAAAGATTCCACCTTGATACCATCCTTAGTGATGACATTGATAATAACTGCATCTCCGGTGCCAATCTCTCTCTCAGCTGCGGAGATGAATGCATCCTTAACCAGATTGACAGCCTTCTCCACGGTAGGAGGGGTCGCCGTTACACCCTCCATGTTGTGGAATCCCAGCTGCAAACATCAAGATTCCAATCAATAGGCCTATCTCTTACATGTCCCATCTTCACATCACTATCAAGATGCTATGCTCTTGCTCAGAACGGTCTGATACATCCAGGCTAGGCCTACAGGATTGAGGTATTAATAGCTAAATACCCCCACCACAGCAAACCTGCACACTAAGTGACTGCACACTGCTCCATAAGAATAACACTAGCTGTATGCCCGTTCTACACATGGGGATCCTAGAGTAGTCAGTTGAAACCTTCTTATATTAAGAACAGCGGTTTGCTTATTTTCAGATATGCTGGCAAAGCTATTATATTATATAAACCTTCGCAAATACAGTATGTGACAGTTTCAAGCCAAAACAAAACCATAACCTCATTCTTCATTCATTGAAGATTGAGGTTATGGTAAATATGACATGATAATGGACTAAGTTTCCGAAACATGTCATCAAAATAAAATAATTATTTTAAAAAACGGTACTTTGTTAACTATGTTTTTAATTTTTAATACCGAAATTTGAACGAATTGTGTTTTTGGCCTCTAGGGACATCAAAATGAAAAAGTATGCCTATATTGATCCCAGGCCTAGGTCTTACCATGCCACCTACAAAAATAGCTACTTCCCTATATAGTAAAAAGACTAAAAAGGGGATTGATTAAAAGAAAAATATATTGTATTGAAAACCAAATTTATCTGTTAGTCGCTTGAAAGCCTTGCCAGGATAACACCAGTAAAAAAAAAATTATGAGTCAAAACTTACTCAGTCCATGAATAAATACACACATTTGCTGTAATGAACGATAAGCGTAATAACTCTGCTGTGTAATAACCTGTTTTCTACGGTACGGTACCTAATGTTAGAAGGCATAGCCAATTTTTCTATAAAATTTCACTTAAATTTGAAAGTCAACCTTTGAGCAAGGTAAAAGGAGGCAAAGAATTAGGTGGTATGTAACACAACTGTCTAACCCAAATACTTTGATACTTTCTTATGAAATTGCGACCATATGACGGTAGGTATTTTAAGATACAAATATTAATATACAAAAATACGGTATCCTAGAAATAAATACTTAACAAATTTAAGTGTATAAGTAGGTAGGTATGCATTAAATACGTCTTGTATTGTATGGTAAAAATGGTTAAATAAAACATATTGGTTAGTAATGAACCGTATTTAAAAACCAATAAGCAGTTCCAATAGGTTTTAACATCTATTGCTATTGACAAAGGAAAGGTTTGAGTTGGGAAAAGGAAGTGATGCCAGTGACAGTGAAATATTCTAATTTTATTGTGAGTCGGACCAACCGGGACATAGGCCAATTCGACATAGCTTCTTACATGTTATCTGACTTAAAGGGGGCCGACTTAATAAGGTCGTACTGTATAGTGTAGAGTTTTTTTTATCACAGTATACTTTATCGTTAATCGATTCAGTAAGCCTATTATCATATCAAAGATCTTTAAAATCTAGGCCCTTGTGCTCTATGTTAGATCCTATACATTATATTCAGTTAGGGCCACAAAAGAAACGTAGGCCTACCTGGTTGTCAAGCAGAGACTGCAGCAAGTGTCCGGAGTTGCCCACGGCTCTGTACGCAGATCTGGCATAGTGTCCAATGGGGTCGTAGCTGTAGACGGCGCCCTTGCCTTCCGTGTCCAGGCCCGCTATGATGTTGCTCACGTAGTACGGGAAGAACCGCTTATTGTACATCATAGTGGACAGCATCTGAGCCACGGCTGGCGACGACATCTGCTTGTTGTGCTCGTGGTAGTACATCTGTAATTTTACGTCAACATTTTATTGACTACTTCTTTATAGGGTAGTTCATTAAAATATAGAACTCCCTTGGTTCTGAAAAAGTCGCCTGTTTGATCATTGAGACAAGTCAGTACAGTACCTCACCTCTTGATGGTTTGCACCTGGAACCAGTTTCCCTTGATAATTAGGTGTAAAAATGATTCTGGCTTAAGAAACAGCTGGTCCTAATAAATAATAAAGCTACACGAGGCATCTCACTTCACTCTGGGTTCATCATTCTCTCATTTTGGGAATAAAATATGCTCAGTTACTACCAAGCCTCAATAAGTACGGTAAATAATAAGCCATACCAATCAACTGGCTATTATTGACTATTAAAACTATTAGGCATACAGTTTTGTGTAGTAGACCGTCTATCTTCTTCTTAAAGATGTAGTCAGTTTCAAAATAGTAAAACTAATTAATTCCATTGGGACAAAGTACAGTATGATAGACTGTGCTGAAGTAAAATACAGTTTTTAATCAGAAACACAACCACTGTATTCATGGTCTGAAAGGCAATTTATTGTTAACATGAGGACCTTTACCAGACCATGAAAAACTAAAAGAAACTCATCCAACTACAGTATATTTTTTGCCATATCTATATTTGTCTTTTATATGGTAGTTATTTTAGGTACATATGTGTTTAGAAGGGTAAACCTAAATTGGCTAGTTAAAATTTTTCATTGCTGCATTATTTTTTTCTTCACTCAAAAACAACCCGTTCCCTGAAAATACTTAATGGATGGACATAAAGACAGGGGTTGGTGTAGTATAACCAATCTATTCAAAAAATGTAGTAAAACTATAAAGAAAACTGTATTTGTAGTTATATATATGTATTACTTCTTTACTTGACCTACTTTAGGAATGTAGCCTAGATAAATAGTAGGCCTATCTAAATATATATTTGTACTCAAAACAAATTTATAAATTAGTTTATAAAAATGTAATATTAATAATATTTTGGTAAAGATCCCTGAACAGTCAAAGGTCCAGATTTTTATATTGCACAAACAGACAGAACCTTTACCCAACGGCACAAAGAACAATAGACAATAGACAATAGACAAGTTTATTAGTCATTAATTAATTCACAAGAATTACAATAGACATCGTCAATCTAAACAATAGAAACATTATTTATAAACAACTATAAAATTTAAGTCTTTGTTTACAAATTGTAAATTGAAGAAATCACTTAACTTGTACATAGGATTAGCTTTACACCAAGAGCAAGAGAGCAGTTTTTTTGAAAATTCATTTAAGGGCAATGCACGAAAATCAACTGGAAACATGTTAAATATTTTGATCCCCAAGTGGGTATGATAGTTTTGAGATCTAGACAGTCTTACTCTACTTACATCAATAAAATTTCTATTTCTAGTTAAGTGGCTATGGACATTTCCTCTTAAAACATGTTTGTTTGAGTTCTTTTTCACAAAAATGGAGACTTCATAAATATACAGATTTACAACAGTTAATATACTAGATTCTATGAACAGAGATTTACAATGGTCTAATCTTTTGGCACCAGTAACAATTCTAATGACTTTTTTCTGTATCAATAACACCTTACCAATACCTACTCCATTACCCCAAATCACAATACCAAATCTTATGATGCTCTCAAAAAATGCAAAATAGGCTAATTTCAAATAGCTATTAGTGACATGATTCCTTAAACTGCTTAATAAACATTTGACTCTGGATAACCTTGTACAGATAAAATCAATATGATGCTGCCAAGACAGCCTATTGTCAATATATATACCTAAAAGCTTAACAGAACTAAAATCACAGATGTCATGGGTTGAAACCAATAAATTGTCAGTTTTGTCAACATTTAAAAGCAAGCCATTTGCAGAGAACCACTCTGTCGATTCACCTAAGGCATTTTCTGATAGGCAGTGCAACTGCCCTAAGTCACTGTGGCTACAGAACAGTGTTGTGTCGTCTGCATAGATTGTGACATCACTACAAGAAACATTAACAGATAGATCATTCATAAGTATTAAAAATAAGATGGGGCCCAAAATTGAACCTTGCGGAACTCCAAAATTAACATGAGTGACTTGCGATGTAATACCATTGACCTCAACCATTTGCCTACGATTACTAAGATATGACACAAATAAATCTAATTCACAGCCTTGAAAACCATAATGAGCTAATTTGTCTACAAGAATGGGATGATTAACACAGTCAAACGCTTTACTCAGATCACATAAGGTGATCTGAGCAAAGCACCTATCCTCTAAAGCGTTAAAAAGATTATTTACAACATGATCCACCGCTAAAGTTGATGAAAGACCTAACCTATAAGCAAATTGACAGTTACTAAACAGATTACTATGTTCAAAAAAATTACATACTTGGTTTTTGACTATTTTTTCCATAACTTTAGCCATTGTAGAAATACATGAAATGGGTCGGTAACTGCTAGGCAAATTTTTGTCCCCTTTTTTGTACACCGGGACAACCCTTGACAATTTCATAAAAGATGGAAAAACACCCTCTATGAGACAGCGATTTATACAATAAGTGAAAGGACTTAAAATAACAGAGCAAACATTTTTCAATAAATTACTCGTTAACCCATACGCATCTCTAGTATCAGAATTTTTTAACGACACAATCACATTTAAAACATCTAATTCTGATACCATTGTGAATCTAAAATCAAACACAGGTTGAGCACTTTTTGCCACCATTTGATGAGCATTGCTTTTTGACACATTCACTTTCTCACAGATTTCTTCCACCGCCGTGGAGAAGTAGGAGCTGTAGTCATCAGGGGATAGCGCTGACATATTTTTCTGCGTGGACCTCCCAGCAGCTGAGTTAATTACCGACCAAGCAGTCTTGCACTTATTGGTAGACCTCTCGATGAGTTCTTCGTTTTTTCTCTTCTTTGCTTCTCGGATAGCAGTGCGATACTTGCCCTTTAGATTTTTGGATAAAAAAAGAATGTCCTCATTACCATACATTTTATACACATCTTGATAAAACAGTATTAATTTTTTCATTTTTTCCAGCTCTGGGGTGTACCAGTTAACTTTATTTTTGAGAGTTCTATTTTTAAACACCTTCTTCTTCACCAAAGGAAAACAATCATTAAAATTAGAGAAAAAACAGTCCCAGAACAGATTGAAACTTTCTTCAGCAGATAAATTAGGGTCAAAAACCAAGTCCCAACTGACAGTGCTAAGGTTCATGATAAGGTTATCAACCATAACAGGCGTGAATCTTCTGGTCCATACTTCGCCGTCCTTCTGAAGTTGACGTTCCGCAGAAATTTGAGAATGTTCCAGTATTAACGCATCATGGTCCCCTAACAACGGGTTTACAACACTTATTTTATAGTCTGAAGAATTAACATTGGTTAGAACATTGTCAAGACACGCTGCGCCTCTAGTAGGTTTGTCATTTGCACAAAAAAGATTAAACTGTCAAAGTATGTTCAAAAAGTTTGTAACACTAGGCTTTACAGTTGTGATGTCAAAGTCCGCATTGAAATCACCACCAATCATGAGTTTACTCGTACTTCCCCTACTGACTAGGAAAGCTAGCATATCTTCCAAAGACCGCAAGAAAATGTCTACATTACCCATAGGCGATCTATATAATGACACAACAATTAGGTTAAAATGAGGTAGTTCAACCGCAGTGACTTCAAAGTCGAGTTCTAAACAAAATTGATTCAAATCAATTTTTTTAAACAGAATGTCCTTTGCAACAAGTATTCCAACTCCACCTCTTGATAGATTGGAACGACAAAAACTGTTTCCTAATAGGTAACCACTCGGTATATAAAATTCAGCTTCATCATTTCTTAAAAAATGTTCACAGAGGCAAGCAACATTAATGTCACAGTCATTCATAAAAAGCTCCAAATCACCAAGTTTACATTTAAGACCCTGTATGTTTACTGATAGTAGCTTGATAACTTGATTTATTTTGGGTGATCCCTGGTTTCTATAGTCCTGTTTGATACTGGGCCTAAAAAATTTTCTTGACCAGCCCTATCCCAACGGTTTGTCCTAGGGGGGCGATATCTCCCAATCTTACTCCCTACGGGCCAGAGGTTAGGATGCATGAATTCCTCACCAAGATCGAAAGGTACACCTACCTTGAAAGAGCGATAACTGTCATACCTTGACACTATAATTTGACACTGAAAATTGGCATTTTCTTTTAAACTTCTCAAATATTTTAAGATTGAGTCCGAAGTTACCGAAATGTCCATGCCTGTCAGAAAAAGCCACATCATTCTCTGAGCTGGTTTAAGCAAATTGTCTTCACTTACCTCTTGAGTCCCATGCACAACTTTATTTCTTATAGTAGGCCTACCTTTTACAGCCTCGTTGTAAGCCTTGGGCTTCGACATACCATGAGCATGAGCCTTATCCTCAGAATCCATAGGCCTAACTATGGTTTCAGATTTCTTCTCATTATAAGTAATGGTTGCTGGATACTTTCTATTATTAAAGCGCCTTTTATTATTTCTGACTTCTGTCCAGTCAGAAGAGTTGGTATAAATTCTACTTTTGTTTGAATAAGAACAATTTTCTCGTTGTTGGTTATGTCTCGAATATTTTGGGTTTCTAGAATGCAAGTCACCGACTTTAGGTTGCAATTGCAAGTCTCCGTCAACGCCAACTAAATTATTTGTTAATTCATCTTTGCCATTGCATAGAGCATTGGAAGTCATTGGTTCACCGATCGTTTGATCGAAAGTCATATCGTCGACAGCGTTTTTTGCACTCTGCCGGAGAGAGGAAGAGGAAGAACCACAAAACCCTGAAATGTTCGACATTGCTAATTCCTGTTTACTCCCGTCTGCAGACGACAGTGACAGTATTGTATTGCTTAACCTTAAATTTCCATCAGCTAAAGAGTCCATTCGCTTATTTAGTTCTAAATTGTCATTTATCACACCTTTTACAAGCCCCACTAAGTTGTCAACAATTGATCTCAAATTTAACAAATCGTCCGTATCCCACACTTTAGTGACTAACCTGTCTATCTTCAGCACACAGGTTGAGCAGTACCACTTAATGTCTTCTTGTATCTCATTAATAAGCTCATATCTCGTATCTGATACATTTACACATGATGGATGAAACCATAATTTACAAAATCCATCACAAAATAGTCCTTTTCCATCACTAGGAATCACAACTTTACATACAGCACAAGGGGCGTCCTCACTCTCCTCCACCATCTTGCCAACTGAACAACCAACACCAACATCGGCCCGACCCCAGAGGAGACAAACAAAAATCCACCTTTGCCCAACATTTATTGGATAAAAATCACACCAGTGATACAAAATTGTCAATAGCCTTGAAATTCTTCACATTTGTGATAAAGGAAACAAATTGAATTCTTTAGGAAAGTTTGAAATTTACAAAAGCTTCCAAGACAGCCACAATAAAAACCATATTTTAAATGACCAGTTAAATTTCAAATCCCACTCTAGCCCTATTTTCAATGCCATAATATCCTACAAAAATAGACAGGAACAGTTTGACCTTTGTAGTACAACTACTGATAACGGAGAAGGGATCGGTGTTACATAATTTCATCAAGTCCAGTCCGCCTCCGTACTGCGACCAGTTTATAGTAGGCCTACTTGAAAATGTTAAAATTTTTCGTGCATTATATTTGGGTATTTATCTAAATGTTTATTGACGACTATCATGGACGAAACATTCTTGTTAGGAAATCACCAGACGATGCCTGAACAGGCGAAACATGTCGTGAGTTTTACTTAGGCCTACTACAACATTTGAACTGTCGACGTAAAGGTATGTACCTTATATTTGTCTAATTAAACAGTTCAGGGGCTACATCATGAATTATAATTATAAGAAGAAACATAAGCAATATGGAATAAAAAAGTTTGAATCATGTGATTCATCGACAAACTATGTTATCCATAATGAAATGTACTGTGGGACAGACTTTTTTATTCACAAACCAGGCCCTTTTGTGCAAAAAGTCGTTATGGAAGTGATGGAGAAAAGTTGTTTGCTCGATAAGGAACATCACCTCTTCACAGACCAGTTCTACACAAAAGTTCCTCTGGCCCTTAATCTATGTACAAAGAAACACATACCTTCTGTGAAAGGTCAACAAGCTGTGAAACCAGTCCTTATATAGACAAATATAATAAGTATGTGAGGGGGGGGGGCGTGAGTGACAAATCTGTGTACCACAGTCTCTCATGTAGCCGTCCCACCTCCCACCAGTACTGGAAGAGGATATTCTATAATTTCCTCGACATTTCTCTGTTCAATGCATATGTCCTGTACACACTAAACCCAGATAAACCTATGAGCAGTGAGACATTTCTATGTGGACATAGTAGAACTTGTTCAAAGCAGTGATGTGAAACCAGTACCTGGCCCTTCCAGAGACACGTCTCAGGTAATTCAAATAATTCTGAACAAATCGAACAGAATGTGTGCAGTGTGCCCCAGGAAAGCAACATACCTGGTCTCCTGTGTGCAACTGTGGGGTGCATAAGGATTGCTTTCACAAGCTATATCACTAAAGGAGGCCTAGTCAATCTTACAGTACAAGAGAAAGAAGACAACCCATTAACAAAAATCGCGTGACTTTAACACAAATTTTGATATGAAACCGTTAAGAAACACAATTTACAAATTTCAAAATTGTCCATTAACTTAATGTCAAACCAGCCAAAAGTTTAATGAGTTAATAATAGTTTATTGTATCTAACTTTTTAACTTACAGTCAGTCTGGCCTCAAGGAGGCGAGTGAGAGAGAGTGTGTCGCACCAACAGCCCGAGGAGGCGAGCACGGTCTGGTCAGTGAGACGGAACAGTTTGGACTGATCCCGAGTGTAAATAGAGTAGCCGGTGCCCAGTCGAGAGTCAGAAGCCACAACACAAAAGTCTGGCCCAGCGATCGCCACAGAGGTGCTACACACATTGAATTAAATTGTTAACTTAAGTTAGTCAACAGTCATTTGACATAGGCCTATATCTAGGCTACATGACCTGAGATTTATTTGGGCCTAGTAGGCTACAAAGAAAATGGTACATATTGATGTAAGTTAGGCCTATTCAACAGTTTTAGTTAGGCTATTTAGCGTAAAAAAATCCCAATAATATTCTTTCTTTTTGATTTATAAAGATTATTCTTTTGACATCAGCAAGCCTAACACAATAATTCCTATGTATTATTCAAAATTAGGCTGCACTTTAGTTTACGTCCTACACTCATTCGAATTACATGGCCATCAACCTGGCACCGGCTTCGGTCCAGACAGAGCTTTCTATCACGGAAACGAGTTCTGGATGGATCACTCTCAAGCAATCGGGTGGCAAGGTGGGAGGCCATGTTGACTAAACCTCCCATACCAGCCAGGGAGGAACTGGCCCCTGGTGGAGACCTACATTACACAAAGTGGAAGACCCTAAATCAATTTATGGTCGAGGTACCAAAATGCAAGACAAACATGTAGAAATCGGGTCTCTTATCAGACGAAGAAAACACCTTGTGTGCCTGTGGTGCTGTTCAGGATCCTGGCCATCTGCTGATCTGTCCACACAGCCAGTCTTGCACATTAGATGATCCATAGCTATATCGGTACCAGTAGCTAATTTTTGGAAACGGGAAGTCTGATTTCCGGACACGGAAAGTAAGTAGGTAGGTAACTACTCATTCAAATGAAATATATCGTTATATAGATTATTCGATATAGGCTAAGTATCGATTCTTTCATTCGGTTAGTTAGGTTAGTTTTTCCTAACTAACCAAACTTGATATTATCAGATGAAATAATCAATATATCAATCGATATATTCTTTGGAATGAGTGAAGGACGTAAACTAATGTGCAGCTTAAAATTATTTTAATCATCATCAATGACTAGTCCTAGCATGGGTTACAGTTTCTTAACTGGGCTATGCTAATATCGATTGAAACTATCGATTCGATTAGTAAACCTATGTGCGATTTTTTCACCATCAGCAAGTTTGGTTGGTTAGGTTAGGTTATGATAGTTTAATTTGATAATAAATATATTTAAAAATATCGATTATTAATCAATATTTTCAATTCGATAGTTTCAATCGATATTAGCATAGCCCAGTTAAGAAACTGTAGGCTTACCCCTAGCATGAGTGCACCAATTGCACTTGAGCTTTATAATGCTACTTTCAACTGTCACAAAGCTTAGCCTAGGCTTTATATTTTTGCTTTTGACAACAACAGTAGTCAAATAATCTATTTTATTACTTAGAAGTAAAATATGCCTTTATTATTTAACTTAAATAACTTACATACCCTCCATTGTCATCATAGGGACTAAATCCTTGAGCTTTCTTAGGTCCAAGATAATCAGTGTGTGCTACCGGTGAATTGCCCATTTGATAAGCCATAGCCATGGTGTAATTTTTTGTGAAGGCCTACACTTTAATATTACTAATTGAATACGGTAGGAAGATATTGATAAATAAGTCCTGATAACCTAACCTTAGCCCCAGAAGGCAAGACACACTTTGCTTAATTGCGTTGCTTCCTCACTAGTCACTAGTCTAGTCACTAGTCAGTCTCAGTCTCAGTCACCCGCCGTCAAATTTTTAGACCAAAGACGTTTGGACATGAAACTCAAGTCATCGTCATGAAATTCCCAAGAGTACTCATTGCCTTTGCAGAATTATTGTTTTTTTTCTACCAACGGCTTTATTATTTACTTGAAATAAATCAGAGTTTCGTTCAAAACTCAGTCAATTAATATTCAGAATATTATTTTAACATCAATTATTTGTTTATAGTGTAGAATTTCCACACTATAATAAACGAAATAAACTTTTTTTAAACAATTTCTTAATAATCTTTCGGGTAGTTTTCTTAGTACTGAGTACTCTATGTAAAGTAAATCAGCTGACTGTACTTAACAACATTCATTCATTGAACGTTTCTCTTCTGCTCCTTGTCAACTAATTTTTGTTTGTTATTTATTTATCATTAAAGTACAGTTATAGTAACATGATTTATCGTGACTTAGTGAGTAGCAGAAAGTGATCATTCTAACCGCCAGTGTTAACTATTCAAACATGAAATTGAGAAAGTACATACTTCCAAGATGTTTTGGGGACTTAATCGCCTTTTTATTTATCATTGGAATTCTACCATTTGGTTACTGGTTTGAAGTGTTCTTGGTATTGCCATCAATGTATCCTTTAACATCAGTTTGGTACATCATGCATTCTACATTTGCAACTTTTCTCTTGATAAACATTACAAGCAATTTTGTTTACATGGTACTTATGGACACAAGTATTCAAGGAGAACTTATGCCTTCTACTCCCATTTCTCCAACTTGGAAATTTTGTGCTGTATGTGAAACGGTAACACCACCAAGATCGTGGCATTGTAGTATTTGCAATATTTGTATCCTGAAAAGAGATCACCATTGCCAATTTGCAGGATGTTGTGTCGGCCACCTAAATCAACGATATTTCTTTTATTTCTTGGCATACTTAGCGATAGGAACGGTTTATGCACTCTATTTTAATACTTTTTTCTTGTTTCAGTATACCAAATTCAGTGCATTAAGCTTTATCAAGTTTACGTTCCCTTTAGCAATATTTCTTCTCGGAATAGATTATTCAATTGAACATTGTTACACATTATTCTATGTCATAAATTTGCTTGGTATGCTGTCAGCTGTGTTCCTACTTTACTATCATGGATCGTCGATGACCAAAGGTCTGGTCATGTATGAAAACTCGCATAATATTTTTGATTATGATTCAGGATCCCTGAAAGAAAATATAAAGCAAGTATTTGGTGATCGATGGTACGTGACATGGGTTTCACCATTTATTCAATCAAAACTACCAAGTGATGGTATTAATTGGGTAAGCAAGAAAAAAGAAAAATGAAAGACAGTTAAAATCAGTTTTCAACCACGATTTAAATGGTTTTATAAGTCCTAACTAGGCAACTTTGGGAATATGCTGGTCTAATGTTTATACCATTCATCGCATAAGCTATATAAAGGATTTTGCATAATTTTTTATCAGAACAACTTTGCCTACCTAGGCCTATTGTGCCTCTCAGCATCACCGTTGGGAGCCTTTCCTCGTCCCTCCCAATTGACTCGATCTTCTATTTAAATCAAATTATGGAAGTCTGGACTCTAGAAACTAGTAGCCTATTACCTAGGTTAAATTGAATTTACCTACTTCTTTGAAGGGACCGCAACAACTTATAAAAACTGTACTGGTGATGGAATGCCGAAAACAAAAATTACAGTCAATTTACCAAACCTGTTTATTTATAGCCACGTTTATTTGTTTTTATATATACTCTAATTACATATAGGCCTACTACAATATACTAAATAAGTTAGTTAATGATTCAAGGGAATGGACAGAGAAATAAGTATAACCAGAAACTTGTTTGACCTGCTTCACAATAGGAAAAGGGGAAGGGTCATAATTAAAGAATCCATGAGTGCACTACATATAAAACAAAATTAGGTTTGTATTGCCATATGTTTCTCTGAGGTACCCTGAAAAAGTCACCAATTTTATAATAAACAATTTAATTTTCAAATTTCAGTGTTACAGTTCACGTGAAATATTTTTGGTACGCCTTAAAAGTTTCTTTTAGTTATTATTTTCTGAATCAACCATAATTCGCACAAATCTGTAATAAATGCTGTCAATTTGACTTAATTCCCTCCTTTCCATCGCAACAAGCCATTTTCTGTTTTCATTTTTTTTTTCAATAACAACCACAATATTGAGCAGCACTATGTTTTGCATAAGAAACCCCTAATAACATGTATAGAATTCACTAGCCTAATCTACAATTTCAATAAATATCTGTAAATCAAATCACACAAGCTAACATAATTCATTACCACTGTAGCCTATATTAAGCTATTGATTACACAAAATCCATCCATGCTGTCCTGAAAACATAGCAGCTCTTGATATGACAGTTTCATCCAGACCCAGTTTTGTTATTGACCTTACCACCCCTATATGTAACAAAAAATTGTATCATAAGAATATTTTGCATCCAGTTTCCCCTCCTGTTTTTTGTTCACCTATGTTACAATGAAACCTGTTATGCATAAACATTTTAGTTCCAAAGTATTTGGCAAATATAAGCAGTCACAATATCACTCCCAACAACTATAACTTTCCTAGTTATCAGTTGCTGTAACTGTATTGCTTCTACCATGCAACGGAAATAATCTTCTCATAGATAACTTTTATTTTTTTCCTACAGTCACCCGACAAAGTTGGCTTCCTTGTACTGTTTATAGTACAGAAAGCTGCTAATTGCTGCATATTTATACTTTGCCGTACGGTTTATACTTTGCCGCACATCAGGATTCCAACGAAACAACACAAAACAGCGTGGTTCTATTATGCACGTAATCCGTGTACGCTTGGAAATAGGTTGGCAACACTTAAAGATAATAATACTATGAGCAGCTGATTGACTATTATAACTACGATTTAACCTGTCATTTCGTGTTTACAGTTTCGGTATTTCTGAACTTTTTGGACTTTTCTTTTAAACGTTTTTAAAACATTCCTACGATCTTAATAAACAAGAAAATACCTTTAAAGCATTCTTTTAATTTTTAAAGCGTGGAAACCACTTCAAATTACAAAAACATACGGAACTATATTCTCAAAACGCGGAGCACATTTCTTGCCGAGGAAAAATAGCGGAGTGATACGGACCGCGGGTACTACTTTCTCTAGGGCACCATTTGTGTTGCCAGCTGAACCTAAAAACGTGTTGTATAGTGTTTGAAAGACTAATTATTTATATGCTTTATAGTGACTGTAGGAAAAATATAATGTGTAACACGAGTGAAAAAGGCCTTTGCTGCACTCGAGATCATTCCGCACTCGCCTGCGGCTCGTGCGTAAACATTGCTCTCGTGTGCAGCAAAGTGCCACTTTCACCACTAGTTACACAAATAACTATTGTGTGCACAGCTTAAAACAATATTATAATATTGATGAAAATTTCATTTCAAACTAGCAGAGTTCCCGTCCTTCGTACGGATTTGGCATATAAGTATAAAATGCTTATTGCAGTTATACTCAAGCTTTGCGTTTGTATTGGGGGAGGACACATTTTGATAAAATTTGCTTCTTTAAGTTTACGGTATACTATAGTACGAGCTCATGATTGTTTGCTTATGTTAATTTCCATCATCATTTGGAAAAGTAAAATATGTATGAATTGAGAATTTGACATTAAGAAATCAGTTTTAGCGAATTTCCCATATAGGGAATAAGCTATTACCGTAGTACTCATGGTAAGACCCGGACGCGGGACCGATTTTTTTTTTCGTTTCGAGGTCCCTAGAGACCAAAAACACCATCCGTTCAAATTCATATATATATATATATATTTATATATATATGTGTCCGTTAGCACGATAACTCGAGCAAAAATGATCCGATTTTGATGAAATTCGGTACAAACGTGTAAACCTACGTTTATTCGAACGAGTTCGCGATCCAACATGATCGGACCATGGGAACGGGGGTTTATGGGGGCTTTTATGGGGTAAAAATAGGTTTTTCGCATTTTTGACCCAAAAAACATAAAATTTAGCAATTTCTTTCCAAACCATTTTGTAGAGCTTAAAAAAACAAATAATTTAGTATATTGAAGCGTTATTATGCGCCTAATGGTTACGGAGAAAATTCTAAAAAATTTTAAATTTAAAATTCCCATGTTATTCTTATGGAGAATAAGTAAACTGTTGTAGTTTGCTTGTTTATGAACATATTTTGATCAAATTTGAAAAATGTTTTTATTTCTTACTAACTATTAACATAAAAAAAAACAGTTTTATCTCCCTGATGCAGCAAACCTAAGTACTTGTTAAACTAATTCTATTTAAATCGGGAATAAATGTTATATTTTTAAGTAGACATTTTAGTGTAAATCAAATGGAAATTCGCTTAGTCTGCAGGTTTGCTGCGGCGGGGGTATTATCAATTGAGGTTGCATTCAAACACTCAAATTTTGTTGTAAAGTTAACACATGATCATTTTTCTCACTACTTTGACACTTTTTTGCCCTATGACGTTAGCCGCAAGCCCGGAATTGTTTTTCACATTACTTCAGGCTAGACCTAGGGTTTGCGGCATTATCATTTAAATAAAATCCATTGGTGATTTGGCGGGATTTGAACCCGGGACCTCAGGAACAGAAGTCTCACGCTTACCACTAGACCAGCTCGTTCCCCCAACTTTTATACTAATTTACATTTAAAACTATCAAAATGTAAAAACTATGTGAAATTGTTGGTGCAGGATCATTGAGAATAATATGCTGATTAAATGGTTAGTAAAATATATTTTCAGATGAGCGAACCTAGTCACAGATATAGGACGGTAACAGTTACCATAAGTCACAAGAGTTGACAAGCACTGAATAACACTTGATATTATTTAACTTACAACTAGTAATATCTTATATGGATCCATAGTTAATACATCAATATTGAGAAATGAGAAAAACTAGGCCTCTGGCTTAAAGAACAGAACAATTACATCATTATTTGTTGACTGTTATCTTTATGTAAATAAGAATTGGGTAATTGTGCAGTACAGGTCACTCCTGATATCATTTCAATGTTTTGCACGCTGAGTCAGTAAATGTCACCTTTTTTGACAGAAACAGGTCTAAGCCCACATTTATGTTAACAATTTAAAGCACGCTTAAGTCGTTCCAATGACTGTTTTGATAAGACTAAGTTGTTTATAAAACTTAATCAGGAGTGTGAGTAGCCTATTAACATACTGTACTGCACAAAATCCTGTAGATGTATTAGATTATTACAATTTAAGTTAAGTTTGTCTGTTAAGTTCAAAGTTATCATCAAATACTGCCTCCTAACCAGTAAGCATTTAACAATCATGTACTTAAGTGACATATTTTAACTGTGGCATTTTTATATGTAATATAAAATAAAACATTTTATATGTTCCTATATGTTATTTGATATTTTACTCCTTTATTACAAAAACATTGGACAACTACAACAACTATGAATTTTCCATAGAAAAACTAAACAAAAGCTCCAGATAACTGGAGTTATATATACTGAACTGTCATCAGCACACACCAATGTTGCCATGTACAACAAACAGAAATATAATTTTTTTTTTATGTCAAACGGTATAGAAACTCACTAGAATATATAGTCAATGAGACTTCAGGTAGAGTGTGCATGGACTTCTTGCAATGTAACTTCAAATAGCATAAGACTTTAAAAGTATTTATAACACTATTTTTTGTAAATTTGTTGACTAACTTTCAACATTGCTTTTACTTACACGTTATACACATTTCAAATAATTATGAATCTACATTTAAATTAGCTTATTTGTTCTGCTTCAAAATACAAGAGTAAGGAACCATTTAAATAAGTTAATCATCAAATGGTTGTCACATCTGGTATTTAACATAATATGCAGTTGGAAAAACCTATAATTTAAATAGAATAGATCGTTTAACGAATCCACCTTAATTGTGAATATAAAAATATAGCTTTTTTCATCACTAAGGCCTAAAGTTACTCTTTTTGACAAGAGCTCAGGTTTAACAACTGAGGTTTGAAAAATGAGCTAGGGTTGAAAATACACTTTCATCCCGTGTGGTAAACTATATTTTTGTTTCATGATGGGTAGCCTCTGGACCACACAGCAACAATAATAATGGTTTAATTTACCTCTGTCAATATGGTCCTTGCGTAGTTTGTCACTACTGCAGTTTCGTACGAGCACGAAACTGCAGTAGTGACAAACTACGCAAGGATCATATTGACAGAGGTAAATTAAACCATTATTTTTATATTTTTGTCATAAAGCAACAATCTTTCAGACAACTTTATTTTGCACCACAAAACTACTTTATTCGACAAGACCAATGGACAAGTTTTAAAGCTATAAAAATATTAAGTTGATGTCCTTGTCTCTAGCCTTGGGGAAAAGGAGCTACTTTATCCTTGCAACGCATGTGTTGAAAACAGCCGTTTTGCTGCAGTATGACAGAATAGTTTCTCCCACAGATATTTTTTTCTGTTGCAAGTCATAACAATGAGTTATAAAAAAATATTCAACGATCTTATCAGAGATATATTACAAGCAGCACACACTCTGAATACATTTAACAACATGAATATTACTGATAACAAACAATATAAACTATTCAAATTTAACTACATAAGTATAATATTTAATAACAAATACATATATTGCTAATTTATTGCTGAGGAAAAGGCAGTGATAACATTGAGTCTTGAAAAACTCCTCAGTCCATAATACAAATTCAACCTATTTGAGTTTTAAATTTGCCCATGAATTAATAAAAAGTGCGGTTTAACTAAGAAGGGTTTTCACGAAGCACAGTTAAATGGTTAATATCGCACATACTGTAATCTTGATTGGAACATGACAAATCACAACCAATAATAAGCAAGAATGTAAAAGAACCTTTTTTAGAAACATTTTGAAGAGGACTTGTGACCCTGTGGTCACAAAAAATTAATGTTGATGAATTTGCAAAAATATTGCGATCAACGTTAAAAATATACGGCCACTGCCAAGGGCTAGACAATTAATAAAGTTTTATTTATATTGATCTAGGTATTGTAAACACTAAATTCATAGTCCTAAAGATGAGACCATTGGAAGACAGAACCGGAAAAGTGTGATAAAAAATGTTAGGAATCTTTTAGGGGTCTGTGGGTCCCCAAATCTTCGAGTTGGGTCAAGCCAACAGTGTACTCTATCAATCTTTACTGAATGGAAGTAATTTTCGGACCAAGCTTGGGTTGAGTAATTTATATTAGAGGCATGCTAGTGACTCGATATTTGAACTGAACCGAGCTTTAATTCTTGCAATATTACCACAGAAAGCAAGAGTGAAGATTGAATGAAATAATTTTACCGTGATCGTGGGAGATATTCACGATTTTGACGCGAACATAGAAGAGTCATTTCCAAACAATATTTCTAAACAGATTGTAGTAAAACAATTATTATCTTTAAATCAGTACTTTCTAAACAACCCGATTTTGGCACACAGCCCAAAGGTCAACATTTCTTTACCCGAAGTAAAAAGTTTTTCCGCAGACCCTTAGAATGATCCTTAGAAATGTAGGATATGTTTAGAAATACATTTAGAATTAAAATCTTAATCTAATATATAAAATTCTCGTGTCACAGTGTTTGTCTGCAAACTCCTCCGGAACGACTTCACCGATCGTTATGAAATTTGGTGTGTAAATTCTGTAGGTATGCGAATCGGACGTAAACTATTTCCCGTTTTGAAATTCTTAAAAGGGCTCCGCCCCAGTGGCTCTGGAGTTTCCCATGTTAACCTTATGAGAAATGGAATTAATGAATCTTAACAGCTGTTTCAATTAAATAGCATTAAAGTTACAAGGATTACCAACAGGGTGCAGCACTATTATTTCTTTTTCATTTATGACAACAGCTAATTTGCAACCAAAAGGTGAGTGAGCGTAGCGAACGAACTTCAACCTGGAGGCGAGTTAGCGTAGCGAACGAGCTAACCTGAAGGCAAGTGAGCGCAGCGAACGAGCTCCAACCTAAAGGTGAGTGAGCGTAGCGAACGAGCTCCAACCCAAAGGTGAGTGAGCGTAGCGAACGAACTTCAACCAGGACGTGATTGAGCGATGCGAACGAGATCATCTTGAAAATTAAACGTAACGGTACTTTCTTTCCATCGGTCTGTCTTAGGGGAAACCTATAACTTAGGCGATACGAAGTTCGCTGGGTCAGCTAGTCTAATATATAAAATTCTCGTGTCACAGTGTTTGTCTGCAAACTCCTCCGGAACGACTTCACCGATCGTTATGAAATTTGGTGTGTAAATTCTGTAGGTATGCGAATCGGACGTAAACTATTTCCCGTTTTGAAATTCTTAAAAGGGCTCCGCCCCAGTGGCTCTGGAGTTTCCCATGTTAACCTTATGAGAAATGGAATTAATGAATCTTAACAGCTGTTTCAATTAAACAAGTTGGTTCTGTTCTATGATGTTCAATAGCATTAAAGTTACAAGGATTACCAACAGGGTGCAGCACTATTATTTCTTTTACATTTATGACAACAGCTAATTTGCAACCAAAAGGTGAGTGAGCGTAGCGAACAAACTTCAACCTGGAGGCGAGTGAGCGTAGCGAACGAGCTAACCTGAAGGCAAGTGAGCGCAGCGAACGAGCTCCAACTTAAAGGTGAGTGAGCGTAGCGAACGAGCTCCAACCCAAAGGTGAGTGAGCATAGCGAACGAACTTCAACCAGGACGTGATTGAGCGATGCGAACGAGATCATCTTGAAAATTAAACGTAACGGTACTTTCTTTCCATCGGTCTGTCTTAGGGGAAACCTATAACTTAGGCGATACGAAGTTCGCCGGATCAGCTAGTTATTATATAACAATAGTGCGTTTCATGATAACATACACTAAACAAAACAAAACTGGATAAATTGATTTTTAGCAGAAACTTCAGCAACCACACCCAGTATAAGCCAGTGTGCTGCACACAAACACAAACTAATTCAGCAACTTAGAAATATTTAATGGAACAAAAATTAAAAACTATTTAAACAAGATTTAAGCACAACAAGAATGGCAAATAATTGTTTTAAAAGGTGCAAACAACACTGACTTTTGTATACAAGCACAAATTGACTAAAAATATCACAATCATCATATACTATGTTTTGAGAATCTTTTAAGTTTTTAAAATATTCTAAAAATCTAACAACAAAGCTAACAATATTGATATACATAAGATGCTTAAAATGTAAAAAAGGCACCAAACTAAGTTAAAACATATAAAAAGGAAATACATTTAAAACTTACCAAACACAAAATATAAATGTACTAAAATGAACAGTTATGAAAGAACTAACAGTATCTGACAAATACAAATAGGAATGTAAATTGAGTTTAACACAGCAACATTTTAAGTAAGACACACTTACTACTAGAGTTTAAAAAAACAACAACCAGTTTCAATAAAACTTATTCCCCTAAACAAGGCTTGGTTTGGGTATAAAGGTGGTATCAAAATATACATATGTGGATAGTTAATTGTATGATAAACTTATCAAACATAGACTGACACAGAATTACAGTATTGCAAGTGCCAGATTAGCAAGGTTGTACAATATATTAATGTTGGAAGACATCAACGAACAATCGAATACAATCAGACATTAAATCTCATACCATTAGCAACTGGAGCACATGAAAAGAGCCCGAAATTTTAATCCCCAAAAAGGTTCACTAATCTTAAGCATGGAAAGAACCCGGGTCTCCACAGGTACCTGAGGAGGAGGACGTCGACTCGTGTTCTGAAATAGTGTTGTGTTTTGTTGGGTTAGGTTAGGTTAAGTTAGGTTTGGTTAGGTTAGGTTAGGTAAATAGACTATCTTTTAGTAATGTAAATATCTTTTAATAATCTATATTTTAATCATGTAATTTTTTAAAGTGTATCTTTTAATATTTGTATACATGTATTTCAACTGTGTTATTGGTTCTTTCTCCTTTGAAGAAGTTCTAGGAAGAGCCCGGGCTCTTTTCGCACCGTCCTGGGAGGGACCTTGGAGGTCCGGGCGCTTTTCAAGCGTCTGCCTGAGTTTTTGGGCTCTTTTCATGTGCACCCTTAGCAACATGGGAGTGCCCCTGAAGTTCAGTAAAATTCATATGTTTAGGGGCAATTCCATATTGCTAAGAAAGGGTTTTTAGTACAAAGGAATTCAATGCAATAATGTATCAAGCTCAATTAACAGTATACACAACTACAATTTTTAAGACCTCCATCTGGATTAATAAAAGTACATTAGACAGCATTTTTATTTGATATATTTTGTACTTCTATTCACAGCTACCCAAAATAATATATAATACAGTGACATCCGCAGTATTTCTTATTCTCAACACAGGCCTACGATGTCAATTTTGTTTTTACTACAACTGTAAATTGAGATCTAAACCCAGGACCTACTCGTTAAACTAGGGACCGAATAAAAATTTGATATTTTTATTCCCTGATATGAGACATTTTAGTGTAAATCTAATCAGGCAAATGGAAATTCACTTAGTCTGCAGGTTTGTTGCGGCGGGGGTATTATTGTTTTTAGGGATGTTTAAAACTCTTATATAATGATAACCTGTTTTTAGTTAAGAAATTTTTTGTTTGGAATCACTGCCCGGGGATTACTTTGGACGGCCTTCGTAGACATGTTTGAATTGAATTTGCTCCTCACAGATATGCTCAGAATACAAATCGTGTTAATGTCACTTGACATATTATTATGATACTGTAGTAAAGTTTTTTTTTACTAAATAAATAAATAATTTTGTACAAAATGTCATAGTCATAATTATTGTTTGGCACATTATTTTTTACTACTAATTATTTATCCTTTAAATCCCAGCAGGGATCTGTAATACATTTTTTTTTTAAATATGTAGGCCTATCTAAAACATGATTGGATACATCTTACTTAAAATATCACAAAGTCACATTGGTTAAATAGATGTATAAATACCAATTTAGTTTAAGTACCAGTATTAAGTACCAATGCTTTATATACAAAATAAAGTTACATATGCAGACTTTATATACAAAAATATTAAAAATATGAGTAAGTAAGACATACCAACATGCCCAGGCCCGCGGTTTGAATGTGATGCGCTATGGGACAAAGAGATATCATCACTATTAAAATAAAAATTCCGAACAGGCTTGCATGTAAATAACACAGAGCTTAGCAAATTGCAAAGAAGCTAATATTTTAAGACACCATAGTATTTCAATGTAATTGATTCAATTTTTAAATTAGTGTCAACACAGAAATTTCCTTTCCTATGTTGTAAAGGAAAACCCAAATTACCACTCATACTAAACTAGTTAACTGATGAATTTACTATAGTATGGCTGTTTAACAGCCAATAACCAAAGCACCATATCATTTAATAATAAACTTGAGAAAATGTAAGTTTGTCACCATGAAATTATTTAATAAAGAATAAATGATGTCTAAAGTTTTAAATCCTGTTAATAATTTTAATTGATTCATCATAAATAAATTATTTTGCTCTTAGGCAACAGAGAATCAATTGTATTACATGTATTTTCATGAATGGACGGTATTTTATGAGTAAGAGGAAATATATACATAGGTTGGAAATTGGCACCAAATATAGTTTTAAGAAGTATAAACTTCAACTATTTACGGGAGTAGAACTCCCATTCCTGCGTTAAAGCTGTTGCCAGTTTTATAATAAAAGTTGACGTATTTCAAATAGAGCCACCGATAGTGTTCTAAAGTCAATTAGTGATTTCTTTTGAATACACAATATGTTTAACTAAGCCAAACTGAAAGGACAATTTATTGTTAACTCTGTTAGAGGCTCATTCAAATGAGTTCTATTTGAACAAAAAAATTGGCAAAAACTGGTCCTTATTCGGATGTCCACTTCAGCATTTAAAAGTCAGTGATATAGCACACAAGTACAGAACAGTAGTTACTAAAGGTTATGGTATTGTAAAATGCTAAGAGAATGGTAAACTAATAAGACCCTATGATTGAAGCACTGTTAATATCCAACTAAGCTAGTTGAATGTGATGGTCACATGAAGGCTGCAGCATCAGGCTTGGCATCACTACGACGCAGCGGCGCTCGTCCCTGTCCTTGGTACAACTCACGCAGCAACGCAGCCTTCTCACGCTCCAAAACTGAGATGCGCTCGCTCTTCTTTCCAACCTCCTGCACAGGGATAAGACACAATTTTTGAACAGCACTTGAGTCTGCCTATTTTACTTAAAGGTTTCAGTACAATACAGTTTGATTTTTGTGTGTTTTCTACCAATGGTTTTTTTTATGTTTTGTCAGGGAACGGTCCAAACTCTGGTTTTGTAACTACAGTAGACTCCCTCTAGTTCGGCCACCTCGGGACTGGACCACTGGCCGGACTACAAAACGGCCGGACTAACCGGATGTAGTAGAACCTCAATTATCCGGGGTAATTGGGGGGGGAGATCACGGATAAACATTTATTACATACCCATAAAACACCTAATACTGTATAGAATGGACGTTAATGTGATAATTAATTTTCATTTTACATAATCAAAATACAAATTGCGCAATCGTGATGTGTTAAGTCATTAACCTCGGTTTAGTAATAAAAACTGTAACGTTTAAAATCACGCTTACTCAAGCAAAACAAAAATTACACAACATTATACGTACAGCAATAAATCACGTAAAGAACAGAACAATAGAAAGTCTAGTACTGCAAGCTACTGCTATCGTAGTCAGCATAGTCTACTACTACATGTTGTTTCAGAACATATAAGAATGTCGATAAAAACATTAGATAACTCATAAAACAGCATAAAATCATAGTAAGCCTACTTAGTCTTAAAGATAATAACGAAACGACTGTCCTAAAATAGGATAAAGATAACAATGGATGACGTAAAACACCGCTTATTCTTTCTTCTTTGTCCTTCTATTCATTCTTTGGTTTCTCTTCATCCACACATTCAACAAGTTGCCATGGTTACTAATCACCCAATCACAAACTGTTGTGAGTTAGCAAGCACACAGCAGACAGTTGTGCAAAGAGCAGATGATTGTCAGTGCAAGTGGATAGCTTGACCTTGAAGCTAACAATGGCTATTTCTTTGTTTTGCTTTAATTTATTTTTGTCAAATAAACCGTGGTATTTCTAAAACAATAATGGGGGAACCTACCGCAATAAAAATGGTCCAAAATATTTAATAATACTTCAACATATTAGATTGAAGAAAAACTATTTATAAAATGTTCTTGGTATTTTTGAGGTTATGTATTATAGTTTTACATAGGTAATGTGCAAAAATTACCCATAGAAGCACCCGTCAACTAAACTGACATGAATTGTTTACTTCTATGGCCGGAAACTAAACATTCAAGTCGAAGGTCATTCACCCGTGACGATATGACTTGTCCCCCTGAGACCGGGCCGGACCATCCGGTGGCCGATCCAACCAAAGCCGAACTAGAGGGAGTCTACTGTATGATTATAATGTCGGCCGTTTTGTTAGATAGCATATTTAATTCATAGCCCAATGACAAATAGCATCTGGGTCTGGAAACGAACCAGCAACCTTTAGATTTGAAGAAGAGCAGTATAACCACTTGGCTTATCACCGGACGATAACTATAACCACTACAACTATAATTACAACCACTACTTCAGCTATAACTATAACCAGACATAAGTTCATAAGCTGATTGGCAAACTTTCAGGGGGGGGAGGGGTCAGGTTAGTGGCGGTTCTAGGACCTTGTCAAGGGGGGCTTGGGGGGTGTAAGAGGAAAATGTTTATATTTTCAAGTAATTTGGTGACTTTCTAAAGCAATTTTTAACGCCTAAAACTGTCTCCAATCGTAAAAAAATCCCATTCCACCTGTTGTTTGTCATAAGCAAGTAGACATTTACAAATTTAAACTATGACGATTGCATTCATGAATTTCAAAACATAATATAGATGTTCGGGGGGGTCACTACTAGCCGAACTAAAACATATGGGTACCGGTTATTGGCAGTGCTGGGGTAGGGGTGAGTGAGTAGCAAGACACAAACGTTTTCGCAAAAGTACCCCTGCCAATCCCCTCGCCTAGACCCGACCAGATCTGGTCACGCGCACAGAAACTTTGGCCGAACTATACATTGGAATGGACAGAGTTTAAGTGAGCCACAGACAGATTACGCTGATATAAATTACTGATTTCAGTTAAATATGCAGACTTTTAAACCAAGTCAAACTCAAAGGACTGAAAAAGCTCTACTTTGAGAAGATGGTCTCGGCTGGCGTGTCCTAGGGCTACTGTTTCTTTGCGTGTTTGCTGATGCGTGTATGCGAGAGTGTGTTAATGTGTTTTTTTATTTGTTAAATTTGTATGTTTTTTCTTCTTTTTTTCTGAGAAGTGTAGGTACTTAAATTGTTAAATATTTTTATGTTTAATTAGATTAAGTTATCCCAATGTAATATTATTTTGTTATATTTTTGAATGTCAGGTTAAGTGTAAGAAAGGGCCACGATTTTCATTTCATTTCAAAGGACAAAGTCTTGTAATCTATAGCCTCATTAATGACCGTTTAACTATCTCAGTTGACAAAAATAAGGTAGTAAGTGTAATTTTAAACACTAGCACTCTCTGTGTTTGGTGAATACATTTCCAAAACGGATTATGTCAGAATTGCGGCTATGTCAGGATTGGATAATCTCGCGCAAGCATAGGCCTACTATCAAATTATTCCAGTCCACAAAATCCATGTTTGTTTTACATCCACCTAAAACACTAAAATAAAAATGCTTGGACTTGAATATTCCTTTTTAGATTTCACAATTTTTATGCTTTCAGAGACTAAATCTGGCTTATGCCTAACAAATCAAATACAAGAAGTTTTCCTAGAGAATCAAAGACAAATTCCTGAATATTAAGTACTACTATCGGAACCCTCCTTTTTATTTGGTTAGCTTCATTACACCGCTTTTATATTTAGTAAAATCTTAAGATTGTTTTAAAGAAATCATAATTTTTATTACATAACACATCTAACCTGCAATTTTGATATTCATTACCTTTTAGGCATTAAAAAAAAAAAATTGACCTTTTTCTGTTAATTCACTACCACTAGTGGAATGTGTTTACGTTAGGTTAGGTTTTCTAACTCTATACTAAACTGTATAGGACTAACCTAACCAAAGTTTAATTCACTACCAATTCTATTGCTAATAATCTATTGCTCTTAAACTAGTGGTAGTGAATTAACCGGAAAGGTCCAAAAATTCTATTTACTGCTATGTTTAGGACTCCAAAGGGTTGGTTTAGTTCCTGGAGCTTTCCAGGATATTTCATGGTTATTTAAAACCCCTGTGGGATTCCTTATTTTCCCGGACTTCCTGGAGAGTAGACACCATTGGTAATGTGGTATGTGTTAGCGCAGACAATCTGCGGGAGTAACTAAATAAAAGTTTGAATCTTTCTGGGTGGATTTGTGTAAGTATGCTATCTGATACCTCTGTGAGCAGTACGTTCTGCTGCTTGAGCCGAGTGAGGTGTGTAGGCAGGGGAGGGTGAGCCACAGCCAGGTTCATATGTAAAGGCAGACCTCCACTCTCAGTCAACACAGCCAAGTGTCTGTTAACCTCCAACACTCGAGCTCTCTGTAGCTCCAACCTCTCATGATGTGCTTCACTCCAGTGATCCTGTATATGACAACATGAGATAAATGTTTAGTAAACCAACATACTCCCGTTGCAGCCAGGCGAGCTAGTTTTTATTATAGACCAACGTCATTTTCCTTACTTCATTCACAAATAGTCCAGCAATTTCTCATCTCTATGGGACGATTGGTCTCAACATGATATGAATGAAGGAAATAATACATTTATTCCACATAGTATAGGCTACAGCACGAATAAGTGCAATATATACTTTTAAATACATGCTACATTAAAAAATTGCCCCACCGCAGCAAACCTGCAGATTAAGCGAATTTCCCTTTGCCTGATTGGATTTACTCAAAAATATCTCCTTAAGATGTTTGCTACCGCAATAGTACTACATTTTTCATTCATATGGACCAGCGGCGCACTTATGCAACGGCCGGTTTCTACCCATAGTCCCATAGATGCAACAGCTGGTCACATAAGAACAATCCAAAATTTATCTTAGTACTGTTTGTTTATACATTTTCACCAGAAACACATGGGAGTTGGTAGTTACCATGCTGTTGGGCATGCGGCCAAGATACTTCATCTTGTCATTGACGACGGCCACCTGCTTGAGGTACCAGTCTCTTGCCTTCTCCACAGCGGCAAGTCCCATCATCAGGATCTCCTTCTCTTGCTCTATAGCCTTCATACGCTTCAGCTGCACAACAACCACAAACAATATTACCATCCTCGATTTCTCTTCAAAGTAATCAAAGGTCAAATATAATGCGTAATCAAGCTACAAACAGCTGAGTAGCTGAGGGTTAAATTGGCAATCACAAGGTCGCCAGTTCAATCTAGAGAAAAGTTAGAAACTTTTGCTGGTTTAAAACCCATTCACAACTCAACAAGAGATGGATATTTTGAATTTAACAATTGTTAAAAAGAAAAAAAAACTGTAAAATGATGGAAAATGTCGGTTTTGGTTAATCAGATGCTGCACAATAGTTTTCCCACTATTGCAAGACTTATTGCAATGTCTTTGTGATCGAGAACGTACAAGATCATGTTGCGATTGCAGGTGACGATGATGTCTAAAAGACCACGGTAGATATTCATGCTTTTGCTATGATCGCGGAAGAGGACGATGATGTCCACATGACTGTGGGAGATATTTGGAATTTTGACATGATGGTGGAAAATGACTACAAGACCATGAGAGATTTTCTGGATAATTTTGCTGAAATCACCAGATAAGATAATGATGACATCGCGATCACAGGGGATACCCAAAAGTTTGCCGAGATCACTGATTATGTTGATTATTCGTATTCATTATGACATTATGTATGCTAAATGCACATTTGTATGTATACCAAAACTTAAAACTTGTTTTATTGGCAACCATACAAGAAAATGTTAATTATTTAAAAAAAACTTCTTTATCAGCATCGTATGTGTTATGAAATTACCTGAAAGCACAAAATATATGTCAAATAACACTTGTAATAATATATTTACCGGTACACTTACTTTTTACTCACAAGCCAGTAAATACATATAAAAGATGGCAAGTGGTGATCGATTTCAATTGGACACTCGCGATCACCTATTGGGTCTGATTATGATTGGAGTGTCCAATCAAAATCGATCACCACTTACCATGATTTATATGTATTTACTGGCTTGTGAGTAAACAGTATGAGTGTAAATATATTATTACAAGTGTTATTTGACGTATTTTTTGTGCTTTCAGGTAATTATTAATAGTCATGATGAGTGTATGGGATTAAACAGTGACAATATATTTCCATTAACATTGCAATAAAATAAACCTACTATCACCAACGATAAACCTTGCACAAAGAAAATTATGATTAAAGTGGCTTAGTCTAAAATATAAGATGGTCCCAATCTTATCTATTTATAATAACCAAAAACTAATCAAACAAAACTGAACTGAAACCCAACCAATAAAATTTGCAACCGAAACATCACAACTACAGTAGAACCTCGATAACAAGACTCTCATAGGGATTATTAAATAAGACTTGTTATCAATATTGACTTCTTATTGAGGTTTGCACTGTTTGCAGTAACATGTCTTTAGGGATAAAATAATTTCAAGGGGATTTGAAAATTCCACTTGTTATCAAGGGTGGCTTGTTATCGAGGGTCTTCTTATCAAGGTTCCACTGAATAATTAATTTTTTTAAATCCAGCCTAACATTAGCAAACACTGCACTTAACATTTTGCATCAATCTGTGACGCAAAATTCTAGGGGGGGAATAAACTAGTATTCACCAAGTCAGGCTAGGCCTACCCCTAGAACCGGCCACACTCAAATTTCTTCCCCGGAGTGCTCAGAAGGAGCCGAGAAAAATCCAGGGGTCGATACGAAGGTGTCACGGCTTTGACTGATCAATTTATTTAAAATTTAATCGAAGGCTCAGAGCTCTAGAAGTGCTCAGGAAATCCTGCAGACGCTCAGTAGGAGCTATTTCATCCTCACCTTCGCTAACGTGTTTTGGAGAATTTTGCCTAACTTTTAAAATGACTCTGTAGGGCCGACGAGTATTCAATCTTAAGCCAATGTGATATAAATACTCGTATTAAACTGTAAACTATCTGGCTAAAGACGGTGGTGGATAATAAAATCGAATCTAATGTAAAAAGCAATTCCTACAGAGTCGTCGGGGCCTAATTAATATAATTGGACGGATAATTTAACGTGAGTGGTTTAAAATAAATTTAATACTAATTTTTGTAGCTGATTATTCAACTCAGCCTGCTCCCAAGACTCGATTCTTTCACCCGCCAAAGACGGGGTTTAGAACTCAGACGACGAGTCTCGGGGTATTAAAACGTCGAATTAACTGGAGTAACTTAAGTAATAATTTAATCGTGAAACGAACCGAATTAACGTAATTTAATAGCCAATTGGTTTAAAAGAGCCGAAAAATATCCACCGCTAGTCACTGGCAGGCAGGAACTGGCGGGTTTTGTACGAGTCGGCAAGAACTAAGTTAATAAAATTTAGAAAATTATAATCGAACGTAAACGGATAAAATAAATGGCAGACGAGTATGCGTATGTTGGAAAAAGAATATTTAAAAGAAAGTAGGAAAGTCTGAAAACGTAGCTAACCTGAATCGATATCGTATGACGAAGTTAGTTTCGTTGTGCGAAGAGGCTTCTCGTTAACGAGTCGACGGTCGAACAGCGAATAATTCTTGTCCGGCTCAAATTCCGATTTTCTCGGCCGCGGCTCAAGCGCTGCGGTGGCGATTTCGGAAACTAGCCAACAGCTGATCGGGGATTCGCCTGTTGAGCCGGTCTAGTTGTCGTCTGTCGTTGGTCAACAAACACCATTTTGAGGTTAAGTGATGTTGTAATCGGCGTTAAATATTCGTAAAATCGGTCGTTTTAACTTTATTATGTGAAACGGAGTGCTATTATGAATAAATATGTAGTTGTGGGTGTGTTCGTGTACTTCACTGTTATCAAAAGTAGGCCTACGTTCTTTGGCCCATAGCCCAAGCTAGGGCCAACACATAGGCCTAGGATTAGGATGTTGTGGATAAAAATCGGGTAAGTAATGGTGTTTGTTGACTAGCAATACGTTTTTACCCCCCTTAAAATTTGGTACCTCACACCAACTTCACAAAAAAAGAGAAAAAAAAAGATTTCTAACGTGAGGGGGATGGTCCAAAGGGTCTCGAAAAAGGGCAGCTGAAGAAACGGCGTCGTGAAGAAGAGGTCGTGTACGAGAGGGAAAAGTAAATGAAAAAATAAAATCTTCTTGAAAACAAAATAAAAAGGACTTCTTGAACGAAAATAAAAACCAACTGGTATAAAAACACCTCTCGTAAAATCGAAAAACGAATAAAAGAACGATAAAACTAAAGAACTTCTGAATCATCCGTAGGGGTCGGCCCTCAACGTTGGTGGTAGGGCTTCAGGTCCTTCACGTGAACCACGTGTGACACCCCCGTGCGCACGTCTCTAACCGTGTACAGGTTGGCCCCACGCCGCTCCTCAACCTCGCAGGGTCCGTCGAACTTGGGGGCGAGCTTCCCGACCACGGCGTCGGCCGCGGAAGACAGCGTGTGAATCCGCCGCAGCACGCGATCGCCGTTGCGGTACCTCACCTCCCGCCGGCGGAGGTTGTAGTACCTTGCCTGCTGCTCGTAGGCGGTCTTGAGGTTGGCGTGGACCTTCTCGTAGATGCGTCCGAATTCTTGCGTTCGTCTGTCGTGGACTTCGGCGAGCGTTGGCTGTCCGTCAACGTCGGGTGTCGCCTCCAACGTTTTCCCTCGGACAGCTTTCGGGACTCTGAGTTCGCGGCCTAACGTTAGCATCGCCGGCGTGTAACCCGTCGAATCGTGGACGGCGGTGTTTATGGCGAACTGGAGTTCGGCGATATGGGCGTCCCATGACCTATGATTTTCTTTCACAAACTGAGAAATCATGGTCTTCACAACGCGGTTGACTCGTTCCACCGGGTTCGATTGCGGACTGTAGGGAGCTGTGTTTGTGAAAGCTATGTCCCAATCCGTCGCCAGGTCTCTAAAGAGGTTCGAAACGAACTGAGTCCCGTTGTCGGTGATTATGGACTCAGGTGCTCCGTATCGAAGGAGCATCTCCTTAGTTTTACTGACAACGTTCTTGGCCGTTGCCGACCCGATAGGACATAGCTCAACCCACTTGCTGTACGTGTCCTGGATCACCAGCAGGAAGCGGTGGCCCTTGCCAGACCTGGGTAGCGGACCCACTAGGTCGGCGGACACCGTGTACCACGGACCTTTTGGAGCCCGGAAGTACATCTTCCCTGCCGGTTTCGTCTGCGCCACCTTGTACTTTTGGCATGCATCACAGGATCTCACGTAGGCTTTCGTCTCCCGACGCCATCCAGGCCAAAAATATTCGGGCCCTACACGGCAAAGTGTTTTCTTGACACCAAGGTGTCCTGCCGTAGCATCATCGTGGTTCTGTCGTAGTACCGCCTCTACTTGCCCTGGAGGAACGCACATTCTCCAGGACAGCCTACCACCACTCCCATGGCGTTGGGAGGTTCGGTAAAGGCGGTTCTCCACGATTTGATATCGCGGATAGCGTCGTGGGTTGGCGGTCACAGCTGCGTACAACCGGTCGTACCAATCAGTCGGAGGGACGTCGTTGGCTTCGTTGGGGCGTTCGTCGGGTTGCATCGCGTCACTCGGTTGGTTTTCCGGTCTCGTCGATTCCCTGCGTCTGGTCGTGCGTCGCTCGCGAGGCGCGTCTGTCACCTCCGATGTGAGGTGACTCACCGCGACCAGGCCCGATTGGCCCTCGTTGGTCACGGGTTGCCTCGACAAAGCGTCAGCGACGCGGTTCAGGGTGCCCTTCCGGTACTTGATCTCGAAGGTGTACTGCTGAAGTTCCATCACCCACCGCGCTAGACGTCCGCTAGGCTCGTGTAGCCTCATTAGCCATTTCAGCGCGACGTGGTCGGTTATGGCGACGAACTTGTAAACCTCGAGGTACGGCTTGAATTTTCGGGTCGCCCAAACCAACGCAAGACACTCTAACTCCGTCGTTGTATAGTTCTTCTCTTGGTCCGTAAGCAGTCGGCTAGCGTAAGCGATTACGACTTCGCCGGATTCTTGGTTCTGCGTGAGAGCGGCTCCAAGACCGATGGTCGACGCGTCGGTCTGGAGGACAAACGGGACCGAGAA